CCAGAAATAGGCACTGTTAATTTTGCTAATACCATCATTTGGAGCCCAAGACCCTGAGTCTGCGTATAGTGATAGCTATGATATGATATTAAGGTCCCGCCCAAACTCCCGCAAACTCAATCTCAAGCACACAAACACAACGCCACACCGTTTTTATAGCATAAAATAACTCAAACTAATTTTTTAGAAAAACAAATACTTGAACATACAATAGCATGATAATAACTACCTAAAAATACAGAAACAACAACAGTAATTTGATATTTTAGTTTGGCTCACGTCCCATTTGTTTATATGAAGAGGGTGGGGTTTCTAACCTATACTGCAGCCAGCCACCATGGGGCGAAATGCGAAATGTTCTGGGCTGCGTTTCCCAAAAGCATTGTAATCCAATGGAGCTACGATCAACTTTGGCTTACGATGCTTTTGGGAAACGCAGCCCTGGTCACTTTTCAGGACGTGTGCGGCTGGTGCGGCCCACTTGTGATAGACAGTCACTTGCTGCCACCTACTGGCATAATGATGTAAAGTGCAGAAGAAATCCCTGAAAAAAAAAGCACAACTTACCGTCAGTCAGATTTAAGCACCAGAACTCTTTCTGTAAATACAATATTATATGATTCTAATTCTGACATATAAACATAAACTTGCAGTTTGGATTTAATAATTTTTTTTAAATTGGCATTCATGTAAAACATGATTGTTGATTTAAAGAATGATAGAATAAAGTAATTAAGCGTACCCTACAGGGAGGAGAAGAGAATGGAGGGTTGGAAGGAAAGCCTACACTTTTATCTTCACCATGTGGAATTATATAAACCTGGAACATTCAAATGGACAAATCAGTAGAGCAGAGAATACATCGACCAGTGTTGAATATAAATATTACATGAAGCAGCCAGCAACATACGAACACATCAATCCGCAGGCTTTGATCTCCATCTGCAGCTTTGTAGAAACAGAAATACCACACGCTTTTGCTTAGACGGATGAGGTTGTAACCGAAGGAGGAACACTTCTGATTTTATTCCTATCGCCACAGTCCAGACTCCGACTGCGCGGAAAGAGATTTCGTTTCTGAGACATCATTAGACATAAAATGACTGCTGCTATAATTGTGTGTTTGTGATTCGTGCACAGGCGTTTGATGCGCAGATGAGATGAATATGGCCTTTGTGTATCTAAACAACATTAATCACAGACAAACAACATGGCTGCTGTTGCAACTGATACTTTCACAACTTTACAGCTGGACTTATTCAAGCAGGTTTATTTAATGAACAAGAGTGAAAAGTTCAACCTAACTTATGAACAATAATTCTTAAAAAATAAAACTTTGTTATCAACCACTATGAGTGTGCACTGGTGAAACATCCAAGCCAACTGTAGACTGGGTTTACTATATGCCATCTTACAGGAAATGTTCTCGGAACATTGGCTAACGTTCTGACTAGGTTCTCTCAACGTTATTAACAAACATTCTTATAGTAATATTAAAAGAACGTTCATTCAAAGTTATCTAATCTTTAATAATGTTCTAAAAATGTTGTTTATACATTTTTTTTTAAATCACTTCATAATGTTATTTATACATTGTTGGTGAACATTTTTTCTGAAATGTTTAGTTGGACATTTGTTTAACATTTCTTAAATGTCAGACCTACTTGTTTCAGAACATTCAGAGAACATTCAAAAGCAAGGTTCCTGTAATGTTTGCAAAATTATAAAATTACCTTATAAAGTTACCTTAACTTTCATATGATTAAGAAAAAAAAGTTGTTTAAAAAACTAGACATTTTGACCATTCGAACAACATTCAGAAATAATGTTTATATAGCTTAATGCGAACGTTAGCAAACATTTTCTAAGAATGTATTTTTGTTAGCTGGGACTTGCAAAAAAGGCTCTTATGATCACCAAGGCTGCATTTATTTCATTAAAAAAAAACAGTAAAAACAGTGATACTGTGGAATATTGTTATAATTTAAAAATAACTGTTTTCTATTTTATTATATATATTTTATTATATATTTATTTATATTTTAATATGTAATTTATTCCTGTGATGCAAAGCTGAATTTTCAGCATCATTACTCCAGTCTTCAGTGTCACTTACTCTAATATGCTTTATTTGCTGCTCAAGAAACATTTCTTATTATTATCAGTGTTGAAAACAGTTATGTTAACTAAAGATCAATATTTTTGTGGAAACCATTATGCATTTTTTCAGGATTCTTTGATGAATAGAAAGTTCAAAATAACAGCACATATTTAAAATAGAAATAATTAGTAACATTATATACAACTTGCAGAGCTGTCATAACCACCTAAATTAAAGTAGCCATTTTCATAACTGTATAATATTTATAGTGTTATATAATTTATTATGAAATGTTTTTATTCCCTTATGATTTGGGCTCAGTGTTCCTCTGGAGTTTGGAAATATTTTCAGTGCTGTTCATGTAGTCTGAAGTGTCATCGGCCGCTCTGAATTCCAAGTAAGTTCTGCCCACATCCCATAATTAACCAGACCATATCTGACCTTTAGAGTTGAAGCAAATGAGGGCAAATTAGTTCATTGAGGTGATTATCTGATGCCAACATGTATTACATGAATGTATTACATGAATGATCAGGAACAACTGTGTACAAACACGCACGCACACACACACACACACACACACACACACACACACTTCATTTGGCATTACGCTCTTATCCTCGCTGGCCTTGCCGTTTACAATCCTAGGAAAGTTTCGTTTTGATTTAATATCTCCAGATTAGACAGGCTTTGTTGGAGTTTAGACAAGAAAGGGGGTATTTTCTGACACAGTCTGCCATGTATTCAATGATGTAAACATAAATATTATCATATTTACATTGAGAAATATGCATGGAAAATTGCAAAATGTTAATATTGATTAATATTTCTTACCCGTTCAACTTGAGAAACAAGACTACTATTATAGAGACATCATAAGCAATTCAAATGAGTATGTTTTGGTTTGTAAAAGAGTACATATTCACCCATCATCTAGATGTTCACAGCTTCCCACGTGGAATTGAAAGTGTTAGAGCGCTTTGTGTGCTTGGGCAGGACAGTTTTGGAAGAAGCTGACTCAAAAGCACTCATTTCCTAAGAAAAACAATTTATTGACTGTCAGGGGTACACTTTAAGCTGTTACATGATTTCTTGGATCAGGTTCTGGGTGCATCTGTGCCTTACCAGCAACTGTGGTTTTGTTTGAGTCTGTGCTTGATACAAAAATATTTAATAGTAGTTTAATACAGTACTAAATCAAACTAAATACCAAAAACATTTACTAACTCATCTCTGTACATTTGGTAACTGTATATTTACATCGTTTTCAGGCCTGTGTAAAGATATATAAATGTATAACATTTAGTATAGCCTATAAAATATTCCCTTAGATTATTTGTGGCATTAAAGCAGTCACCAGCAGAATTAGGGTCATGGCTAATTTAAGAGTCCCACTTACTGTAAATACTGTAAGTGGTGGAAAGTTATCCAGGACTGACCTGGTATTATCCTCAACATCCATGATAAATCTGGAAAGAGCAGTTCAGTAGTTTGGCATGTGACCTTTCATTTCGTGTGCAATCGGATTTGGGGTAGAAAGAAGTTGGAGTCGTGTTTAAAACAAATAGTTATTTTAAAAACCACACTGCCATCTAGTGACAACTTAGGCACAGTGAAATCCTGAATGCATAAAATGCCCTTTTGTAAGGACACGATGTTGCACGTGACAATTAAGTCGAGACAGAGTTGGTCAGGTGACCTTTGACTTCTGTCTGAATTTTACCAAAAAAACATCATCCACTGATTTCTACAGCCATAAATACACTCAGAAGACATTCATAATCATAATTAATCAAACTACATTAGTAAATGGTACACTCTAAAAAATGCTGGGTTAAATACAACCCAGTGCTGGGTAAAATAGGGACAAACCCAGCAATTGGGTTGTTTTGACCCAGCAGTCGGGTTACTACCCAGAAGGTTGGGTTAAACGTTTAACCAAACCGCTGGGTCAAAACAACGCAATTGCTGGGTTTGTCCCTATTTTACCCAGCACTGGGTTGTATTTAACCCAGCATTTTTTAGAGTGTACTAATGTGCAGATCTGGCTAAGCGGCCACACTGACACTTCTACTGAAGTTAGTTTTTAGTTAACTTAAGGTAAGAAAAAGAAATGTAGGCTGAAATGAAGGACTAGATGAAAGAGTTGGCATAATAAATTCATTACGTTTGGCAAATCCACAGCACGCGTCCTGCAGAGAGATGATAAAATGTGCATAAGCTCAGACAGAGTTGAGTCTGATAGCAGAGAGAATTCAGTCTGTGTCTTACATGCACTACTTTCACAAAAGTATAACCACAATTGCCAAAATTTCCATGATTTTTTTGGATATGTATATATAATGATGTACACATACACACACACACAATTAAAAAAAACAGCCGGTCTGACCTAAAGAAAATACATCTTGGTTATTTAGTTGACTCTTGTCTGAATGTAAAACTTTTGATTCTAAACTAACACATTGTAAAACATTTTGTGCGACAACTAGCCACCATATGTATGTTTAACTAATTTGCCTTTAGTCTAACATCTAATAGACTAAGAAAATAAAATGGAAATTTTTATCATCTAGATGAGACGCGCAATAAAATAAAACAAAATAAATAGAGCGTACTAAATTACTGCTAAATATCACTTTAGTGTCAGACGTTGCTACTTTACACATATTATTACATTAAATAATTTAATCTAATGTAAATTCCACTTGCTTTAAAACACCTTTTTATCCGTGTAAGCCCGAAGGACTCTTTTTGCAGCATATCTGACATTTTTACTGTCCTTTCCTTCACATAAATCACCGAACACACATTCTCAAAGTAATTGTGGATATGTGTAAAATGGTATTTGTCACATTGATCAGCCAGTTATCTGCTGCGATACAGCTGACATCAAACAGCAGCGACTGGAGCGGATGCGCTTCAGTCAATTACACACACACACACACACACACACACACACACACCGCCATAATAACAGTAGCTCTCCATCAGCATCAGCAAGACATCCGCAGGGGAAGCAGTGAGTATCTCTTCTGCATTCATTTCCGACGGAAAAACAAATCGTAGGCTGTGTTATTCGAAGCGGTGTATCGTTTAATCTCTGCCGTTTCCAACCCTCTGGGCAGCGGCTAAGACTACAGAAACGCGAGAGCAAACGTAGAATGTATTCCGTCTCTTCTATTTTCCCGATCGAACATTCGCTTAATCCCTTCAGTGCATCATAAGAAAGAAAAACATCCATAATTATTTTGACGTATAATGCCTCAGTGAACGCGCAGCTGTTGCGTAATAATGGTACATTGTGAGCGCGTAATGCCGCGTGATGAATTACAAATTACGCTTAAATGCTTACGTTCGTCCTGTCTGTATGTTAGATAATGAATTATGATTTGATATGCGTTCAGTGGTGCTGTATTGGCCTGTGGTCGAAGCTTATTTGAGAGACAGCGCAGACATCATTTGGACGCCTCACACATGCTGATGTGCTGCTGTAGCCTACATTGGGCATCTCGGATAACCTTGATAGAGCAAGTAAAGGTGTTCTGTGGAAGAGCCAATAAAACACACCTGTTCCATGGCCTGCAGTGTCTTCCACGTGAAGTGATTGTGTCAGAAAAAGAACATGCAATTATTTATTTTAATACAGTTTCAAATGTAATGCTTTGTCAAAATGACATTAATGGCGTCTTTAACAATGATGAAAATAAATAAATGGGGTTAATACATTTATATAATTTGTTATTAAAACTACAAATATATTTAGAGACGTTTCAACAACCAAAATGTCACAAAAAAAGCAAGTGATCCATGATTAGTGAGTTAATGTCAATCAGACAGCCTTTTCATATCTAAATCAGCTGTTTTGGTTTGATTAATCTCTAGGCCTATATGAAGAGTTAATTTGCAAAAACAGATAACTCCGTTTAAAAAAAAAAAAAGTTCAAAAATCATGTTTTTTTTTATCCTGCATTCCAATTAATATCAATCAAACTGCAGTTGGGTGTTTTGATTAAATAATAATAACTAAAAAAATAATAATAATACAGCTAACTAACACAATAAATACTTGATAACACAATAAAAACATGATTTATGAACATTTATAAAAACTGAGTTATCTGTTTTTGCAAATAAACTCATCATATGCACCCAAATAAAAATAAAATAAAAATAAATAAAAAACTCGACTTGCTATTCTGAGCTAATCTAGAATGATAATTGCTCAAAATCCACTCAAAAATCATTTTATTATTTTATTACCCCAAAACAACATCAAGACTTTGTAAAAGAGCATAATAGGACCCCTTTAAATGAGAATAACTGAAATTATGGAAATGTCTAATCAGTTAAGCTTTTATTGGCCAATGCCAACAATCTCAAAATGGCTTAATGTGGGCTGACGTGTCTATCACTAGTGATTGTTGTGTTTATGTGTTTTGTATTCTGTAGAGGGCTCTGTAATAGCCTATTAGGTTGGAGAAATAATGAGAGAGAGCGGTAATCTATCAGATGTTTTCCTCAGTCGGCTAATGAGTAAGACATGAGACACTGAGTCATAATGACATGGAGAGAGATTCACAGTAACTGAGTGACAACATCACAGAGCTCCAACATCAGACCCCTCAGAGACAGACTTAATGGAGAGATATTTACTGTTTAACTAGTGCTAAATGGAAAACATCAACCAACAACAGATGCAGAGATACAAATCCTCTCAGGTGAATGATGGCATGGAAGGATGAAATTATGCAATAACATCAATTAGTTGCTGTGACTCTTAATTTCTGTAAAGAAATATATTTAGTTGTATATATATATGTGTGTATGTGTGTGTGTGTGTGTATATATATACGCATGTTATATTAAATTATATTGCACAAATATTATAAACACATTTGACACATACTACTGAGAAAAAACACAGCAAAAGGAAAGGAAACCAGGTCCAAAAACCTCTCCAAGCAAGCAATTCAGATGTTTTATTGAACATAAAAACTGCTTATAGATGCAAACATCACAATAAACCACAAAAAACTTCCTGTTATAATAACACAAAATTGCTAAGTAATGAAAAGTAAGACACTTACCGAAAGGAAATTGTATAAGTATTCGGTTGAACATATTGAGTTCATTTGCATTTTTTGCTGAATATAGGACCTAATCATTCATGTTTGCTTCAGATATGGTGAAATTAGGCAGTAACCTGGTGGACAAGATGGAGAGACAGCCGTCGGTGGAGGACGGTTTTGACAACATCCCCCTCATCACTCCACTGGAGGTCGGCCAGTTACAGCAGCCTTTCCCTGATAAGGTAATTACCATTCATGCATTAGAGAGCAGAACCCACACATAGTGCCATATTAAAGACAGCAGCGCACCTCTGTTACTCATTACTCTGCATAGAACTTCATTAAGGGGAAGAATGTCATAGGAGACCGGAGGTGGACCGGCAGACATCCAGTACCACTGATACCATCAAAGACACGGTAGAAACCACCCCGATAGATCCCAGCGGATAGCCTGGCATGAAAGAAAGAATTCATGTGACACCATCAAGATTCATTGTCACTGAGTATGATACAGTTTGTCACCGAAAGTCTTTGCAAACCATCTGATCTTGCAAATGCACACAAGCTCATGTCAGAACTCTCACAGATGGCTTATATCTATTCTTAGCTCTGAAGGAGGCAAGTGCAACAGGTGGAAACGCACAGCAGAGTTTGAATTTAACTTTGCAGTGACTCATCTAAAAGATGACAAATTATATAGTAGTAGGAGCTCGCGCTCTGCATTTTTAATGTGCTGAAGTAACATCTTGTGTATCCTACAGCCTACGCTGTTTAAAAAACCTGCCTCTACCTATATTTTTCCACAACATACCTATACATACAATTCACTGCAGTTTCCAGCGGAAATGACCACTAGTGGCAGAAAAACATAGATTTTTATTCCTTTTCATGGAAATTATGATTACAGGGGCAGAGTATTAATTAATAAAGACTCATTATTCTGCATCTCTTTGCACAATACGGTATGTTATGACCTCAACAAACAACCAAGTGCATGATTTGTAAACTAGAATAATACATTTTGATGTTTGCATCACATTACCAGCTCCACAAGTATGGCTTTTCTGACATAGTAAACTTGCTAGGTAGCACACCTGGTATAACATTGCACTTTCAGCGAGGAGCTAAAATGTCAAGGTTGCTTCAGCAAATGTGACCCTGGACCACAAAACCAGTCTTAAGTCGCTGGGGTATATTTGTAGCAATAGCCAAAAATACATTGTATGGGTCAAAAATATAGATTTTTCTTTTATGCCAAAAATCATTAGGACATTAAGTAAAGATCATGTTCCATGAAGATATTTTGTAAATTTCCTACCATAAATATATCAAAACTTAATTTTTGATTAGTAATATGCATTGCTAAGGACTTCATTTGGACAACTTTAAAGGCGATTTTCTCAGTATTTTGATTTTTTTTTGCACCCTCAGATTCCAGATTTTCAAATAGTTGTGTCTCGACCAAATATTGTCCTATCCTAACAAACCATACATCAATGGAAAGCTTATTTTTTCAGCTTTCAGATGATGAATAAATCTCAATTTCGAAAAAATTGACACTTAAGACTGGTTTTGTGGTCCAGGGTCACAAATGTGTTTTATCTTACGTTTGCTTTTGTTAAAGCTATCGGTTAGGTTTAGGACTGGGTCCTAAATTTCTAAATCCTAAATTTGGCTTCAATCAGAGCACATAAAACTTGGTTGAGATGTAATGTTGACTTTACTTTGGCTGTGCAAATAATTCCAAAAAGAGTCATTGTTGTGTGTCAGTCAGTGCTGCGCAAACTGGTCGACCATATTGGACTAACAACAATCCACCTCAACATAGTCAAGATGTTCTTTGGAACATAACGTCTTGTCGACCATTTAGAAACTTTTGAAAACACAGCTACTTGCTTCAGCTGGTTTTCCATTAGGGTTTCTAATGCTAACTCTGAAAGCAGCGAGCCCATTCTTGTGGTTTCTGCCCAGCCCCCTCTCATCTTGTTCTTTGTTTGGACTATTTTAATAGTTCATTCTTTCTCTGTGACTCTGTAGGTGATTGTGAAAACCACAGCAGAGTATCAGCTGAAGGAGAAGAAGAGGAAGCTATATGTGCCGAACATCAAGAAGCTAAACATAAACCTTTATGATGAGATGTCAGAGAAGCTCAAGGTAAAAAAAAAAAAAAAGACAAGGACAGATTGCCCAGCCTACTTAGATCTTGCATTTGTCTCTCTGTTAGTGAGGGAAATGTGAGTATAAATAAAAAATGGAAGGCATAAATACATGTGTGAATGTCTGTGTTTTCCAGCTGACTGGGTTGATTATTATCACCTTGGCGTTCCTGGCGTGTCTGCTTCTGTTGGTCATGTATAAAGCGTTGTGGTACGATCAGCTCGGCTGCCCTGAGGGCTTCGTTCTCCAGGTACCCAGTATAGCACAAATACACCATGCTGAGAACATTTGTGGGCTACTTTACAAACCATTTTTGGTCTGAAATGTAGATGACAAATCACACTTCTGTAAACAAATGTCTTCACTTGTGGCTTTAGTGAAAACTAGCCAGTGGTTGCCACCGGTATGACATCTCAACATGATTTTCACCTCAAAACGTATCCTACTTTCTTTCATTGTGAATGAATCATCTGAGAATGGTGGTATATAGCTACCAGATGAATAATAATTTATACAGCAGCCTGTGCATTAGTAGTTTGGATTTTTAAGTTACATTGTAACTCCAGCAAGTGGCGCCAAGTGACTGTCTTTATGCATGAGTCATTGAATCATTCATTCAACCCATTTGTTCAAAATTGCTGATTCATTCAGGCACAAAACAAGTGACTTCAAGTTGAATGAATCAGCTATTTTGATTCCAGTTTACTTCATATTGTATTGTTTTCCTTGTTGCTTCATGTGAGGAACTTTATTTGTTTGATGCACAAATATGCTGTTTCAAGTTACCCACATATGAAAGTATATTTCTGTTAGGATAGGCAGCACGGTAGCTTACTAGGTTTTGGAGCAGAGCGATTAAGTATTAACTGCATCTTTTGTTTGTGTGATATTCGTTTAAATTTACTTTGTTTGCAGCTCAGCAAAGCTTAGCTGCGGATCTTCAGTCTGCGGACAGCATCTGAAGTGGTGCATTAGCTTTGGTGGAGTGTGAGAATGTCTTTAATTAGTCTTAACCATGACTAAACTGTGATTAAGGCCTGCAGGGGTTTCCACCTCACCCCCTTTGATGCAGATACCACTGCCATAATTAGCATGCCACACTAATGTAGCGTTGCTAACTTGAAGAGCGGGAAAATTGCCTCTTGTTAAGATAGAATGAGGTTTATGGAAGCTTTGGCATGTTGACGTCTCTTGATTGGCGTCTTTCAGTCGCAAAACACCTTTTTGTTTTTGTGGGATGAGTAAAGTGTCACTTCAAGCATCTAAGCATCTGTTTTACAAATTGGAAATATAATAAATCTTTCATAGTTTGCATTCCTGAGAAATAGTTTATTACTGCTTACACAATGTAGTCAGTTTTGGATCATTTAAGTTTAAGAATTTGGGTATTTTCGGATATATAGCTACAGGTTCTGTAAGTTTGAATTTTTAAAATTAATTTTGTGTTTATGTAACTTCCCAAATAAGAATATACTAAGATGTTCCTTTAACTAGAACTAGAAATAGTTATGTCTACTTTTTGCATAAAACTTAACGTGTATATTCCATGCATAATATTATGTAGATGGTAAATGTATATATTTTTTTTTTTTCAATATTGTATAAGATGATTAGGTTGTTGACATGCTCTGTTAGGAATAGCATTACCATAGCAATCTTAATTTTGTGGCAGAATATAGTATGTATATTTTGCACAGTATACAAATTTTCTATATGAAATCCCAGATAATCTGCTATTTGCTCAAATGAGAGTTTTGCACCAGAACACATTGCATATTCATTCCATATTGATGGATTAAAATAATTAATATAATCTATTATTATTATTATTTGATTTACACTAACGGAAACACAAATTTTTATATTTTTGTTTCTGAGATGATAATTGGCCACTCATTGAATTAAACATGCAACATAATGAGACTTCAACAAAAA